CTGCTCCCACAGCCCCAAAACAACCCCAACCTTGAAAGCGACGGCTTGACTGCAGCGGTGGTAAGCGCGGCCAGGCCCTTCAGAGAAAGTCAAAGGACTCAAGCAAAGTGATGAACCGATTCAGCCAACTCATATTCTGACCGTCTGACTGAAATGTTTTACCTGGTTCTGTGTGAAGAGGGCCAGAACATGAGCGAGCGGCATGCCTCAGATGTTGCTGCGCGTTTGAATGTCAACTCCATGCCTTCTGTGAATAGAAGAGTCTGTATATCAAGCTTTATCAGCTTCTGCCCGTTAACCAGCTTATGTACCCCTATGTAGAGAAGCCTGTGCAGTCTAGAAGTACAGAATAGCGTCGTGTTCTGAGTTTCCGCGATCCTTGCCAATGAGCAGTGGACCTCAGAAGTTTTCACACATGTGAATGTCACCTCCATGCCTCGAACCGGAGGAATTTGCCAGTGGAGCTGTATATTCTTTCTGCTTCACGGAGCTGAACGCGCAAAGCATTTGTCAAGAACTTCCTGTAAGTTGTTTACCGTCAACTTCAATAGTTCCATTTTTAACGGATTTATCAACATCTTTATGTCTCTTCGTGTCTAGTATCTGAGAGGACGATAGTTTTGAGTTATCATATACATTTCTACCACTCTTTGTGCCCGCTATTAATATATAGAGTAGAACTATTGGTAGTGTTGAATTCTGGGTCGGCTCTTTGGAGTAAAAAGACGCAATTCCGGAGCAAGCAGGCGATGCAATGGTGCCGGAAAAAATGGCACGTGTCCAGAGTTTGAGCGTGCAGGGGTCTTGTTTTTGGCTGGCTGAGGTTTGTTCAGTGGTTGTTCTCGGTGCCACAGTACGCTGCAGCTGAGCCATTGGATCAGCAGTCGACACAGGGCCCGCGGGACCCCGCCTTGTGTTGGCACATGTTCGAGTGCGGTGGCATCTCGTCCTTGTCAGAAGCGTTCCCGCATGTTTTATGCCTAGCATGGATGCATCCGCAGGAAGCGCTCTTGTTTGTTGGAGCCGAGGCCCTTGTGTCGAGTGGCTCTGGAACCGTTGGCAGGCTGCCGCAACACTGGCCGCCACTGACCACTGATCATGATGATCGTGTCTATAGTGGATCAAGTCTCTGGTCAATTGCTAATGCAACATGGTCAGTTGCATCCAGTCGCTCTAAGTCGACATCAAAGTGGTCCCGTTGCCAGCGGCAGTGCCATGCAGTGCCATGCAGAACTGCCTTACAGAGATCTCTTCCAAAGACAAAGTTCCACAGTCTACAGTCTCAAGGGTACTGTCCTTCGAAGTCTTTCCAGGAAGTACCGCTAAGCCTCAACGAAGCTAGAAATTTCCGCTTCGGAGAGTCTTATGACGTGGACGGTTTGAACTGCAAACAGGCCATTCCCAGCACTCAGCCTCGTGCGCGGCGTGCTGGGAGCGAAGGCTCGCGAAAGGCCACTCCGCTTCTGTCAGGATTTGACATGCACAGTTCTCGACCAATGTGAATTGCTGCTTCTTATCACCTCCATCATGAACACCGATCCGGCGAGTGGATGGAGTTCTGCTGCAATAGACGTCGTTGAATGAGAAGGTTGCATGAGTGTCTACATGGAGTTTGCCAACTCGCGGGCCTTGAAGAATTATGGTAAAACATCGAGAAGGATCCTGGGGGGTTCAGCCCTCCTATGCGAGAATGGGCTTTAGACGGTCCAGAAAAGATGAGAATCATAGACCATGTCATGCACAGTGTGGACTCTGAATATGTTATAATATGTTAACCTACGCTGAGTGAGTATGTTGACCTCGTGTTGGAACCCCCACGGTTGATTCCATGGGGCTCGTCGGCGTTGTGTTCCTGTCGGAGACTGGAAAGTCAAGAGCTTCATTAGCCCGAAAACTCCAGGTTTGTGCAGGGCTCAGTTATGTGGGAAGCTGCTTTGCAGAAAATTCCGATGGCCCTCAGGCCACCCTCTCCATCGTGCCAGACTATGCTCCCGCGGAGCAGGCCTGGGCGCGCATAAAGGGCTGCCTCTGAAGGGCCACGTGCGGAACAACCAACTTCTAGACCTTCCGGATTTTTCTTGTAGCGCCGCTTTTATTCCCCCTCAGTACTAGTAGTTCTGCCGCTGCCAGAAGCCGTTGCGAGCGCTGCCCCGTTACAGGGACCGACACGAGACTACTCAAAGCCGCCATCCACTCAGACTGCAGACGAAGTGGACAGACACGGAGTCAGTGTGCGCAAATGGTGCTGGCAACAACAAACATCCACATCTAGCAACTGCAAGGACAAGCTTCGTGCGAGACGACTCAGACGAGCTTGATGGCGCAGACGCGTGGAGGTGCTTCATCCGGAAATCGAGAGCCTTCCACGCGGTCACCGAGCATGTGACATAAAGGCTTGTCATCCAACATCTTATTTGCCCGGCATTCTCGACAATTCACAAGCGTTAGGTACGCCTTTGTGACTGAGAAGCAGGTCGAGAACAACAACCGTGCCAACAGCAGCAGCCAGTGCAAATGTTGTGAGTCTCTTCGATTTTGCAAGAAGCATAAACAGCCGTGCAAGAAACATGTGACGTCATTCCGATCGGAGTTGCCGTCTGTAGTGCTGGCCCACGGGGGTGGGGGGAGTGGGTGGGTTCGGCAGGATCTTGTTTTGATATTTGTTGACCTGCCCTGATATTGCCGGAGTCCGTATGACCTTTGTCACCAGCAGTCTTGGCATGTAGAAGAGTCGAGATGACTACTATCGCCGAGCAATTGCCAGAGTTCTTAAGCTGCCTGGATTCTTCCGAACATCGCTGAACATTAGCATTAAGCACCTTATGCAACCCTCGCAGCTTCGACGATTCGCTAAGCCATGCACAAGTATGCATGCCCGAATGACTTCTCAATCAAAGCCTGGCTGCCCTAGCGTTGGCCTTGACTCAGGCATCATTTGCAAAGAGTTCCCTCCAGCAAGCTTGGAAGACAAGCACAGCAAGTCCAATGCCAGCAAGGGCGGGATTCTTAGTGTGAGTGGTCGGAGCATGTGCTGCCCATTGCCATGTCAAACTATGTGGAAGGTGTTGTGGTCAGACACTTTTGATACTTAAACATGTTCTCACTAAGAACCTTTGCGCTGTCTCCTAACTTGCATTGTCTCGGACAGATTTAGTCGTGGCAACTGCCTTGCTTAGAGAAACAGAGCACGGAGGAGATGTGCTGAAGTTCAGCGACGATACCCGCACCATCCTCTGGCGAGCGGAGGAGGAAGGCATGCGAGCGACGGCGCACGCACAGACTCACAGCTCTGCCTAATCAGACTGACTGGCAAACATCAACGGCCATGTCGACGGACTGTCAGGCTTGCGCTCCCGATCCCCGAGCAAGACCACTGATCCGGAAAGCCTGGCGCTCGGTGCTTATGTGCCAACGACCACTGTTTCCCAATACAAATCGCGAGCTCAATGTGGTTTGTATGGCTCTTCGGGGCTGTCATGGGCTGTCATATGCCCTATTGGCCAAGCAAAAAGTCAGCTTTGACTTTCAGCTCGTGCTCTCAAGAGGGCTTGTCTGTCAGGCGATTGTTGCTTCAAACTCTGTTTGTGGCCAGCTTGTCCATCCCGGCTTTTCTTGCATTCTTCATATCATCGGACGATCGTCATGGAGGCTGAGTGAGCCTGAGGTGTCCGGTCGCCTCTCAACCAGTCTGATGCATCTTGGCAACAATCGGCGCCACATTTCTTGTTTTTTGCAGAAGGGCAGCGATCTTAAGGGCTGTGTCACCGGCACAGAACTGGGACGTCAGCTGTGGGAGAGAGCAGCAGATGTTGGTTTCTTCATGCGATATGACAAATAGATGCAATTGGAGTGCACACTCTTGACATGAACTCTGTTCAGCAGATAGATGACTGGGCTTCTCCAGTTCCATTCTCAAGAGCCGCCCCCGCAGAACACCGAGCGTGAGCATGGAATTGCGTGAACTCAGGGTTTCCGGACTCCACAAGCACTACGAATCCCTGAATGAACCTCCGAATGTTCCCAGGGATCCTGGGACGACGACTGGGACAATGCCGCCTGGGACGATGCCTGGGACGATGCCTGGGACGATGCAGCTTGGGACGATGCAGACTGGCTCGAAGCCAAGAAAGCGGATCCGGCGGATGTGCTCGCCAGGTTAGAGACTCTTGAGGACTGCCGGGATTGTTCTTCCTTGGAGCCCTGTATCTCCAAGGTCCTGGTGGTGGGAAGAGCTGCAGCAAATAGATGAGGAGCTGGAGCGCGTGCAGAAGAAGCTCGAAGCCCGGCGTTCGTGGCACGAGCTCAGCTTACTCAATTCGAGCAACTGCCAGGGATAAGGAGCAAAACGAGGAACATTGCATTAATCTGCTATGAACGCCCGAATGGCAGGTTTGCGGGCGTAAGCCGGAGGGACCAGAATTCACTTGCAGTGAAACTGGAGTGGATCTCGGGCAGGAACGGTTAAAGGATTTGGCTGAACAACAAGATCTTGCAACAAACTCCAGGTGCAGTTACAAGCCTTGGAAAGAACGCAGCAAAGGACAAGCAATGCAGCAGAAAATATTCCTCGTTAAGTTGCAATCTCGGGGCCTCCACGTCACCGGGAGCTCGGGCGCGTCACTCGCGGAACAGCTTGTGTTTCATAATGCTCCAAGGTGGGAGGAGCGCAGTCGCAAGCATGGTGCCAAGAGCGTTCGAGTAGGAGGGAAGATGCCGCAGTCTTGGCAAGCCTTCCTGTTTAGGAGGCAAGGAGTGTCGACTTCAGTGCGCACTCCAAGGTGGGACGAGATGAGAAGCAAGCTCGGTACCAAGAGTGCGAGAATGGCAGAGAGGACTAAAGCAGCTTATTCCGCTCATAGTGCACTCTGAAGGCATCGCGGAGCGTGTGTGTTCTGCTGAACGACGTAGCACATCGGCAGGAAGGAATGCATACTCCCACCGGCTCTTCAATACCTGATTGATTTTTTCGCGATGGAGTTCTTGGAGAGCCTTGATTGGTGGCAAGTGTGCTACGACTGCTAGGATCAGTGTCGTGTTAAAAGAATCTGCTGTAAGCAGTTGGCCGCCAACTGAAGTAACTGAAGTGCCTTAACCCAACCCAGGTGGAACGCGTCACATGCGTCTCGCAAGCTCGGTGCCAAGAGCGACAGAACCGTTAAACCCTCAAAAGGGGACCGGTTGAGGTGGATGGCCTAAAGCCTTAAAGGTCTTAAGCCCTAAACAGCCCTAAGCCTTAAAAGTGATAGGCACGCAAACCGCAGAAGTCTGAGGCAGCAAAGTGTCGGGCGAAAACCTAGGGTTCTGGGCGTGGTCTAGGGTGAGATGGATGTGTTATGTGTCCCTACCCCTCCACAGGCAGCGTCCCTCCAGTACCAAACTGCTGCCGCATCCGCGTTGCGACGCCATATCATCTTTCGAAGCTACTACCAGTACTCGAAGACACGCACATCATACGGAATCATACGTGAAATGCTTGTACTTCCAGCAGCAAAACCGTCATTGTCTTTGCTGCTGAGGTGCAGCGCCGGTCCTCCAAGCAAGGTTGATGCCTCAGCTGTTGCAGGTCCTCTTTCTGCAATGCTTCTGATGTAATGCCACGTGCTCGGGCAAGTTGCTTGAAATGGGGTCGTCGATGGAATTCCAAAGTACTATTTCCGTCGAGCCCCCCTGCACTGCAGACTCCTCCTCCTCCTCCTCCACATCTGACGAGACACTTTGACGCGCTGAAGCTGCCCCAGTCTCAGTATCGCTGCTGTTGCGACTGTAGCATCAGACCGTGGGATACATTGCAGCTTCTACACTGCTGCATGTCAGGCCGATCACGGCAACGCTGGGTGACGTTCGGAAGGCCACGTGGGTTTGCGGTGGGATAGTGAGATATATATATATATGTATATATATACATACATATATGGTTGATGCTTTGTGAAGCGCCTCTTGTGCCCTAGCATCTGTAGCAGACATGTTCAACACATCATGTCAAGTGGCGAGTGTTGTCGGGATCCATCAGCATCCCTTTCTCAGACGCGATCACCCAGATGTGAGCGTAGATCTAAAGGTTCTGGGAGATGTCAGAATGAGAGGGACCTTCAGGACAGGAAGGCATGCCGTCGCAAAGGTTCAGAGCGAAAGGACGTTTTGGTCCGCGACAGTTCTTGCGTAACCCAGCGCTTCTTAGGTTTGCGCTAGAGTGCCTGGATGTGCTCGTGTTTTGCTTCGGTCTTTTTGTCACAGGGGACAGAATCTCAAAATATCCTTTTTCAGTTTCCTGTCGTGACGTTTCTTTCAGGAACACGTCCACGTGCTAACTTACTATGTCAGGTAAGTTAGAGAGCGATAGGGAGGCAAGGGCTCGCTGTAGTTGTGGGCATGTTTCGGTGCAAGGCATGCACCCTTGAAGCCAAGATCTCAAACCGTCCCAGATCCACTAAACCTATGGAATGGCTAGGTCTCCGCGCCGTTCTTGTGAAGGGGAGGTGCATTATGTCTTTCGGGAGGTGTTCTCTGGGATTTGTTCCTCCCCTTGCTGTCAAAGCTTTTAGAATGTGACGTCTGAGCAAACAGGCCCAACCAGGTGATGCACGGGGGGCTGATACTGCCCAGATATGCGAAGCATGTGCGGCGAAGGGTCCGCATATGTACGTTTTGCGAAAGTCTTTTTGTTCACATGAAGAAGGATTTTTTGCGATGAAGGCAGCGCGGGCCTTGTGTCAGCGGAAGCTATCTACCTCCGAATGGGTGCCCGGACAAATGCTCGCATCGCCGCATCGTCGGCAAGACCTGCGCATGCAACACTAGATTGCCAAGTGCATGACGGGCAAAATGTAGGACAGAAAACTGCCGCATCGGCTTGGCATCAGCGGCACACCCTGCCATACCCTGCACAGGCCTATCGGAAGTTGGCTTTGGAGTGCCATCCAGTGCCTGGTCTGCAAATCCTCGATCGTTTGCTCTTTGGTGTCGCTAGCATTTTTCGCTTTTTCGAGTCGCGTCTTAAGTCTATCCCATACCCGTGCTAGACCCAAGAGCCAGCGACCACAACCCTCAACTTGAAAGACGTGGATCAAGCTTGCCAGGAGGCAAAAGGAAGGCATCGGGTGAGGTAATGAATGATGCACCTTTTTGTTTGGTGAGGACAAGAACATGGAGAAAGTCCCTAGCTCAGCCGTTGGACAGTCTGCTCGGGACTTTCCCAAAAAGTTAGTAGAGGTCATAATGGGACCTTAACGGGAAGCCCCGCAAACTGGAAGCTCCTCCATGCCGCCCTGCTTCTGCAAAGTCTGGACAGATTTGGCCTTCAGATGTCGCCCTGCAGGAAGAGGCCCTGAGAGTTTCTGAGCGCTCAGGCCAAGGAGATGACCACAGTCTTCCGCCAGGTGAAAGAAGCCTATGAGGCTTCGGGCGCAACAAGGTTCTTAGCGTTTCACGGCACCTGGGATTCACTCTCTCTCTCTCTCTCTCTCTCTTCCCCTCTTTTCCCGAAAGCTTCAGTGAAGGAATCATGGGACCGGGACTGTGGCCCATCGAAAACACCGCAAAAATTGTGGGACCGGGGCTGTGGCACCTTGGAAACACCATCAACATCCGTGGGACCGGGACTGCGGCTACACCGCACCAAGCCCACGCTACCGACGCCATACCAACTTCTATAGCCTACTATACACTGCGCCACGATCACCGCACTTGCAACACCGCCTGATACGCGTCTCGGAAGAACTTCGCACTGATTGCTTTTGGGATAGCCGGTGTCTCGTCTTTGTCTCTCTCCCTCTCTCCTCCCTCTCTCTCTCTCTCCCCCTCTTTTTCTTTCTCTGTCTCTCTCTCTCTCTCTCTCTCTCTCTCTCTTTCCGCATACATATATATACATACCTATATATGTATATATATATATATAGGTGGTCAGCCCCCCCCCCCCCATGATCCACACCTATGGTTTTCCTGTCTTCGTCTTTGTCTGATTTTCTGCTTTTTCCTCGGAAAAATGCAGTAAAAACTGCACTGGAATACAAAAAGCTCTATTATATTATCCTCTATAAAAACACCAGTGTTTTTTATGTGCATTTTGCTTCTGAAACTTGTGTCTTGCGGCTCCATAATATTTGAGAACGGTAGCCATTAAGAAGTTTAAGGCTTTTCAGGGTTTTCGGGATTTTTAAAAATTTAGATGATCTGTCGAAGGCACCGGGGCTTCCCCAGACCATTTCAAATTTTAACAATCCTTAAAAGGGGCAGCCCTTTTCAAATTTGAAGGGCTTTAAGGTATTTAAAGCCTTTCAAGATTTTCAAGGTTTAAAGGATCTTAACAGGCTTTAAAGCCCTTAAAAACCTCGAAACGTTTATCCCTTTAAAATCTAAAATTCCTTAAAAATTAAAACGGGCAGCCGTTTAAAATTAAGGAAGTTACGGATTTTGGAATTGAACATCCTAAAATCTTTAAACTTTAAAAGGACAGCCATTTACAACTGTAAGAATTTCAGGGTTTTACGAATTTGTAAAAACTTATATGGTCTGGGGAAGGCACCGGGGCTTCTCCAGACCATTGGCAACTTCAAAATCTCTAATATCCGCAAAGGGCAGCCACTTAAATACGTAAGCAATTTAAGAAAAGGCTTAAACGGCTTAAAACCTTCATAATCCTGAGAATGTTAAAACAAAATCTTAACGATTTTTATAAGAATTTCAGGCCCCAGTGCCTTCCCCAGATCATGTAAACTTGCAAAAACCCTTAAACCCCTTAACCCTAAAAACCAAACCCGAAACCCTTAACACTAAACCCTAAACAATCAGCACCAGACCCTAAACACTAACCCAAAAACTTAACACTAAGCCCTGAGCACAAACCCCAAACACTTAACAGGAACACTAAATAAACACTTAAGCACTAGACCCTAAACACTAAACCCGAGACACACTTAAACACTACACCCTAAAAACTAAACCCTAAACATTACACACTAAACCCTACACACTAAACCCTGAACACTGGTAAAAGTCCTTAAAACCCTCAATCCAAAAAACCAAACCCGAAACCCTTAACACTAAACCCTAAACACTCAGCACTAGACCCTAAACACTTCACACGAAACCCTAAACACTTATGCACTACTAAACCCTAAACACTCAGCACCAGACCCTAAACACTAACCCTAAAAACTTAACACTAAGCCCTTAGCACAAACCCCAAACACTTAACAGGAAACCCTAAACACTTAAGCCCTAGACCCTAAACACTAAACCCTAAACACTTAAACACTACACCCTAAAAACTAAGCCCTAAACATTACACACTAAACCCTACACACTAAACCCTGAACACTAGTAAAAATCCTTAAGCCCGTACCCCTCCCCCCCCACCCAAAAAATAATATTAATGAAGCCCTTAGCACTGAACCCTAAACACTCAGCACTTGACCCTAAACACCCACCCTAAAAGCTTGACACTAAGCCCTTAGCACGAACCCCAAACACTGAACACGAAACCCTAAACACTTAAGCACTAAACCCTAAACACTTAAACACTACACCCTAAAAACTAAACCCTAAACATTACACACTAAACCCTACACTAAACCCTGAAAACTAAACCCTAAACCCTAAACAGAAGGATTTTTCAAGTTGTCAATGGTCTGGGGAAGCCCCGGTGCCTTCCCCAGATCATTTACATTTGTAAAATTCCTTAAAACCCTTAACCCAAAAACCAAACCCGAAACCCTTAACACTAAACCCTAAACACTAACCCTAAAAACTTAACACTAAGCCCTTAGCACAAACCCCAAACACTTCGCACGAAACCCTAAACACTTAAGCACTTAACCCAAAAACTAAACCTTAAACATTTCAAACTAAACCCTAAACATTAGACACTAAACCCTGAACACTAAACCTACACCCTAAACAGTAAACCCCAAAGCCGGAACCTCGAGCCCTACTAAATCTAAACCTGAAACCAAAAACCCGTCGGGGTTTCAGATGCTTCCTGCTTGGATTTCAGAGTTTAGGGTTTTATTTGGGTTTTAGCCGAGCCGCTTGACCCTAACCCTAAACCCTAAACTTTACACCAAACCCTAAACACAAAACACTAAACCCTGAAACCTACACACTAAACCCTAAACACTAGATTTCCAGAAAACATCTGGAGTACCCGGGCCCCGGACTCCAGACTCCAGATTTCCAGAAAAAATCTGGAGTACCCGGGCCCCGGACTCCAGATTTCCAGAAAAACTCTGGGTACCGGGGTCCCGGACTCCAGACTCCAGATTTCCAGAAAAAAATCTGGAGTACCCGGGCCCCGGACTCCAGACTCCAGATTTCCAAAAAAAAATCTGGAGTACCCGGGCCCCGGACTCCAGACTCCAGATTTCCAGAAAAAATCTGGAGTACCGGGGCCCCGGACTCCAGACTCCAGATTTCCAGAAAAAATCTGGAGTACCCGGGCCCTGGAAATCTGGAGTCTTTGGGCCCCAGACTCCAGACTCCAGATTTCCAGAAAAAATCTGGAGTACCCGCGGCCCCAGACTCCAGATTACAGACTCCAAAATCTGGAGTCCAGGGTCCCGGTACTCCAGATTTTTTCTGGAAATCTGGAGTCTGGAGTCTGGGGGTACTCCAGATTTTTTCTGGAAATCTGGAGTCTGGAGTCCGGGGCCCGAATACTCCAGATTTTTTCTGGAAATCTGGAGTCTGGAGTCCGGGTACTCCAGATTTTTTTCTGGAAATCTGGAGTCTGGGGTCCCCCCCCTCCCAAAACCCTTCCCGAGGCCAAATGTGTGGATCATGGGGGGGGGCGAGCATGAATCATGTGGTTCAGCGTCGAGCGTCCTGGGCCCCCCCGCCCCCCATGGTATCCCCCCCCCCCCCAAGCCTACTCTACGGTCCCTAAACCCTAAACCCTAAACCCTAAACCCTAAACCCTAAACCCTAAACCCTAAACCCTAAACCCTAAACCCTAAACCCTAAACCCCTAAACCGTAAACCCTAAACCCTAAACCCTAAAACCTAAACCCTAACCCTAAACCCTAAACCTTAAGTCTTAAACCTTAAACCCTAAACCCTAAAACCCTGAACCCTAAACCCTAACCCTAAAACCAACCCCCAACCACACCACAGGGGGGGGGGGGATCATCTTAGTACCCCATCCGCGGGGAAAACCCTAAACCCTAAACCCTAAACCCTAAACCCTAAAACCCTAAACCGTAAACCCTAACCCTAAACCCTAAAACCCTAAAACCCTAAAACCCTAAAACCCTAAACCCTAAACCCTAAACCCTAAACCCTAAACCCTAAACCCTAAAACCAACCCCCAACCACACCACAGGGGGGGGGGGGGGTACCATTGGGGTGTGGGGGGGGGGGGGGGGGGGGGGGGCCCGCCGGGGCTGAATCATGTATATCTAGATGATATGATGTATAACATTAAGAATATCGCTGCAAGGCTGTTGTATCGAACCGTGTCGTAGGTGCAGCGTCCGCGGCTCTTGTTGGCCTGCTGCTGCATGCTTGCTTCGGCAGGCTCTACGAAAGTTCTTCGAAAGCAGCACAAGAGGCCAGTTTTGTTCGGGCAAGGAAGATGGAGCAGAATCGTGATAAGGGAACTAGAAATTGCACGGGTATTAAGAAGGCGCACGCCAAGAATGTACATCAGAGGACCAGAATTTGCAGTGAGACTGTGGTGGAATTTAGCCACTGGGACAAGATGAGATCTCAAGAAGGGGTGCCTAAGAGGGGCGAGGGTGGCCAAGGCAGAACCTCGCAATGTGCTGCACAGAGCAAGGGATTCCGGCTCAAGCGGAGTCGTTTAGTGGAGAATAGTGGAGAGAGAGCATTGCGCACCCTGCCTCCTCGAGAGGGCGTCCGCGGCAGACTCCTTGAAGGGAGCGTGTGGAGCGTGTGCGCTGCCCAGATTCTCACGAAGGTTTGGAGGTGATTCGTGGGCTTCGGGGTTCGGGGGGTCGTGGCTCCAATGCTGCGGGCGTAGGATGTTGACTGGTGCACCTCCCAGACTTGAAGGCCCTAACGCCCTCTGACCCCACGGAGCCATCTATTATCATCTATTCAAGTACTTCTTCTGGATGACAGGGGCAATCGTGGGCATTCCCCAAGGAAAACTCCCCATCGCACCCACATGGGCACACTTACATACACACACACACACACACACACACACACACACACACACACACACACACACACACACACACACACACACCACACACACACACACACACACACACACACACACACACACACACACACACACACACACACACACACACACACACACACACACACACC